GACGATCCAGAACTACTCGGCAGCTACTCGGTTTGATCAAGAATATGCCGGGGAGCAGCTCTGACCGCTTGACTGTGGCAATTGACTACTCCGCTCGACCATCCTAAAGCGCCGTGTCGCATCGCTTCTCCGACTAAATTGAATGCGGCTACGACAACGATCTCTCCGTATCTGATCTGCCTAATGCCGATCAGATAACGTCGTACGCCGCCGACCAGACGTTCCGTCTAAAATTAAGTCACGCTTCAATATTTTTCTAAATATTCTCCAATCTTCGTATATCGCCATAATGTTTCTCCGAGCTGTTTTCTCCATATTTGCTCTCCACACGATTTTCCGAACCCCCGAACAGTCATGTTGATACTCGGACGTCTCCATAGACGGCCCTGTCTCCGGCTCCTCCCTACACGTGCTACGGGCTCCGCGCTCTACGTTATGGGTAGTCGGCTGCGGTTCCTTAGTCACGCATGTTCCTCCTACACGTGCACGGGCTCCGCGCTCGACGTTATGGTTAACAGGCTAGCTAGGGCTGGAGACTCAGCTATACATTAACTGGTCGGGCGGTTTGTATTAAATATAAATACATCTTCACACTAACTGATCGCCAAGCTACATATGCTATTTCATCGCCATTGCTGATTTTTCTCCAGAGTTCATATATTTTTACATCATGTACTACCCGTTCTACATATTTGTATTGCAGGATCATCGTCCAGGTGATTGGATCACCTGGCGCTCGGACTTCTCCACCGATCAACTGGACGGACCGCTAGGTTCATCGACTTCGTCGCCGACCGATTGATCGGACTGTTCGCCGGTTGCTTCTACTCAATGCTCACTTCGCCGCCGATCAGTTGACCAGACTATTCGTCGCTCGTGCTTCATCGCCAGCTACGTCAGTTACTCCTCAGCCCTCGGATTCTTTGTGCTCGAGGACTAAGTGGGCACACTTCACCCCACTTCACCTTGCGGACATCGCCGGCTACGCCGGGGACTCCTTCGGTGCTCGGACATCGTCAGCTACGCCGGAGACTCCTCGGTGCTCGGACATCGCCAGCTACATCGGGGACTCCTCAGTGATCGGACATCGCCAGCTACGCCGAGAACTCCTCAGTGCTCGGACATCGCCAGCTACGCCGGAGACTCCCCGGTGCTCGGACATCGCCAGCTATGCCGAAGACTCCTACGCTGCTCGGACGTCGCCAGCTACGCCGGGGACTCCTCGATGTTCGGACATCGCCAGCTTCGCCGGGGACTCCTCGGTGCTCGGACATCGCTAGCTACGTCGGGGACTCCTCGGTGCTCGGACATCGCTAGCTACGCTGGGGACTCCTCGGTGCTCGGACATCGCCAGCTACGTGGGGGACTCCTCGGTGCTCGGACATTGCCAGCTACGTTGGGGGCTCCTCGGTGCTCGGATTCTTCGTGCAAGCGTCGCCAGCTAAGCTGAGGACTCCCTTGGTGGTCGGATCTTGCTACGTCTTATCGGTGTGCTATCAAGCTGCTCCATGCTGTTCGGATCAGGGTGCTGATCTTGGGCAGCACGTCTGGGGTCTTAATATGTGCATGTCAGACGACGTCGGCAAGCTTTCAGACTTCTTTTTCTTTGACCCTGCTACAAGATTCATTCTTCATCTTCCAGCAGGCTCGGGGACTAAGTGGGCACACTGGTTGCCTGCTCGGCCGGTCTTCTGCCTTTCTTCTACTTTCTGACCCTGGCACCACGTGACTACATCACCTACTATTAGGCTCGGGGACTAGCTGTGGGGGTATGACCCCTGGTATCCACAAGACAAGACATGTGCCGCACCATCAGAGGTGGCCCAACTCACAAGATCAAGGCGTGCACGGCACTGCTCGGCGTGCACCGTAAGATATTGTATGGTACCAAATATGATACTTTTCTTATAACCCTACCCCTCCAGAGTATATAAGGAGAGGCAGGGGTCCCCTAGACGACAGCAACATAGATCTACATACATCTCATATTCAATACAATACAACAAAGACACATGACGTAGGGTATTGCGTCGATCAGACGGCCCGAACCTGTCTAAATCGCTGTCTCTGCGCCTTGTGTCACCATCCGGTTCCTGATCACGCGCACCTCCACCGATCAATCTACCTTCGTGGGATACCTCTCGGAGGACTGCCGAGCATCTTTTGTCGACACGGATGCTTTGCCGTCGTTGCTCCTTGGCGGATGCTTTGCCGCCGTTGTTGCCCCGGTCTCCTCACTTTGGCAGAAGCTTTGCTGCTGACTGTGTGATGGCCCTCTCCTTGACGGATGCTTTGCCGTCATCGTTCCTTGGCGAATGCTTTACCGCCGTTGTCGCCTCGGTCTCCTCACTTTGGCAGATGCTTTGCTGCTAAGGGCGTGATGGACCACTCCTTGCGGATGCTTTGCTGCTTCGGGTCGTCTTTGGCAGATGCTTTGCCGCCGTGCTATGGTTCCGGCGAATACTTGGCCGTCGTGGTCTCTTCTCTAGCGGATGCTTTGCCGCTGTTTCGCACCGACTTCTCTTGCGGATGCTTTGCCGCCGAGGTTAGTTGGTCTTCGCCTTTGCGGTTTACCTGCACTGTGGACTACCAATGTGTTGTTATTTTCATGTAATGGGCTCAGCCGGGTAGGGAGTTGAGGTGGACTGTACCCCCCCCCCCCTTGTGTATTCTTGGTGTTCGTTGTGTCTGTGGGGTTTTGTTGGTAATCCATGGATTACCTGCAAGTCCTGTGTAACCTTAAAAACTCTACTTCTGCTTAATGAAAAACGTGCCCTAGGGTACGATCTCGAAAAAAATAATCCATTTTTTAAAAAAAGTGAGCCAAATTCAAGTAGGCTTTGTTTGGATGTTATCGGATTCACCTCAATCCACGTGTGTTGGGGTGCATTGGGGTGGAATTTAGTTCACGTTCCACTCTAATCCATCGCAACACATGTGGATTGATGCGAACTAGATTACATCCAAACAAGATCTTAGTTGGGGGTGGGAGCACTTAGGCTAAAACCCTCTTAACCCAAATCTGAGTGACAATTTAGACAGTGAGGTATAAGTTTTTCCAAACCAAGATATTAACATATCAAACGGAGTGCAGTTTCGTTTTCACCTGATGCATGGCTAATGATGTGGAAGTGCCCCACGGGCAATTGCGCTTGTACTCGGTAACCAGTGTCCTATTCATAGCCCTTAGGCAGGACCATAGGAAGGCGTCTCTAGAGTCTAGACCATGAGCATGACCAATGTGATCATATGTTTTCTAGTGGTTTGAACTAAAAGTGATGCCATCTAGACCAATAAGCAAGTGAAGCAGCATTGTTCTACAACGTAGGCTAATGTATTCTAGGGTTTAAAGCTACTTTTACCTTCTTACATTTACATTGTTTCTCACTCCTCGCTACTTTAAGTCAACCGGACATGTTAGTAGAAACTAAAGTCACACTCAAGCACCCCCAACAAATGTTTGGTCCTTCTGTCATAGAAAACCTCTGCACCGTCTCTAACATACTGCAAGGTCACCATTTAATGTTACATGGACGTTGTAGGGGGACGTGAAGGTTGGGGCAGTACTCCAACCTGATGCGTTCAGAAGGCCCTAAGGATTGACAATACGCCAAGTTTTGGGTGATAATTAAGGAACTTCACAAAATTAGGGTTGTACCACTTCTTTTGGCTAACCATTCATAGTTGAATTTGGACTGTGAACAAACGTAAAATACATGAGCTTCAGGATCACAATGATTGCATCTTGTGTGACTAGGAACCTAAAATGATAGTTCACTTGCTTCTTTTTTGCAGAGTGTGCTTACAAGAGGAGCACAATTCACCTGCTTCTTAACTGTGTGTTTACCATGGAGGTTTGGACTCGAGTGGTCACGTACTCACGTTGATTGGCAATGCAGGCAATTGCTCCAAAGCGGCAATGGATGGCTCATAGATGCGTTGTTTCTTTTGCTTTGAGCCAGTCGCAGACGCATGGTTTTAGATCTGGATGTACATAAAGAACCAGAGAATTTCTAACTTGTGTTCATATGAACTACACACGTGTTTTGTACGTCTAGTGATGGTACAGAGTTTGGTTTCAACACATATTGGACAGATGACACGACTATCACATAAATCTCTAAGTCATAAGTTGTTCAAGTAAGCGCACGTATATGTTTGCTAGTTTTTAATAAAATCTATTTAATTTGAGCCCTGAAACTATCATCTTAGTCCAATTTTTCTCCCCGTGGCTAACTTGTGTCGCGTCAGACAAATCCGCTATTTAAACCACCCAGGAAGCAATTCAGATCGGTGTTGATAGTTGGGTGTCAAAAATCCATTTTTTTGGGGAGGTAAAACGAAGTTAAATTTTTTTTGAGGGGATAAAAAAATGAAGTTAGATGAAGATTGAGGTCAAAATGACTCCCCTAGAAAATAAAGTGAGATGATTTTTCCCTCAAAAAAAAAGTGAGATGATTTGGATATAGGCCAATTCTCTAGTTTGGGCCTCAGTGTGTACAGGATAGCCCATTTACTAATATACTTTGTATGTGCATATAGCCATATACTAACTAATAAAAAGTTTCTAGCAAAATTATTGGATGTACATCTGTATATCATATCTGTGCACTATGTCTCTGTACTGTGGGGCTGTGCCCTCGCCAGTCGCCACCTAGTTTATGGATTGTTGGCACTACTCTGTCCAGCAAAGTGTCCTTTTTGTTTTGTCCCAAATCAAATAATCATAAGTTTGACTAAGTTTATACGAAAACATACCAATATTTGTATATTTTTTCTACAGTACTTGTTATTTCTAACTCATATATTTATGAGATAATAAAACCGCCGTAGAGGAAAAAAACACAACAGGGTGTCTCAAAAATCCGTTTTCCAAAGAGGAAGACGTATAGCACAATATCAGTCTGGGCTCCGCCATCGCCACGTCATCGCTCATCAGATAGCCCGCTTCCAGTCTAGCGGGGCCACCTGCTGTGCTCGTGGTTCGCGCACGCCCAGCAATGGCGCTCCGGCCGCTGCTTCGCCTCCTCTTCCCATCGCCTCCCTACCGGAACCCTCCGCCTCCAACCTCTTCCCCATCCGTCGCACCCACCAGTCGCCGCGCCGCCGCTGCAGCCGTCCTCCTGCTCGCCGCGGCCGCCTCCGCCCCGCCCCCGCGCCCCGCCCGAGCCGAGCCCGACGGCGAGGACGTCGACGAGGCCCGCGTCGTCCGCTTGTTCCAGGTACGGGTACCACCCCATTCCCAACGCCGCGGAGTCCTATTCTAACCCCGACGCCGGACGCGGCGCGAGCGCGGTTGTGTGCAGGAGGCGTCGCCGTCGGTTGTGTTCATCAAGGACCTTGTCGTCGCGGGGCCGCAGGGGCGGGGAGGCGGCGGGGTGGAGGAGTACGACGAGGAGGAGGAGGGCGGCGCCGCCAAGGTGGAGGGGACAGGCTCGGGATTCGTGTGGGACTCCGCTGGCCACATTGTGAGCGTCTTCCTGTTTTCCGTTCTGTCGGAATTAACTAGGAAATCCAGAGGTGGAATTAGGGCACTCCCAATACAGAAACCACCGTAGTTTCTATGGACATTAATCGTACTGTCACCTAAGCGTTTTTGCTGATGTAGCAAGTTAGTTATTGAAGGAGAGCAAAAATCATAGAAACCAGGTCTAAGTTAGAAACCATGTCTATATGAGAACCAAGACACAAAAGTACGTGATTGGTAGAGAATGGAGAGAGAATGTATATGATTGGATAAAAAATTGTTCTGTAGAAACTATTCATTGGGACCATAGTTTCTATACATAGTGTCTATAGAAATTAATAGGTATAGAAACCTACATGTAGTTTCTAGCATTGGGACTGCGCTTAGTGCGGTTTGGACTATTTTATTACGCTGGTTGTTGATACAAGTAGATGTTGATTTCTATCCCGATGTTGTCAGTGACAGCTGTCAGTTTTGCCATCGTGCTCGGAGCACTGATCTGAGCATTTTTGCTCAAGGCTCAAGTTACTGTGGTTTTGACAAGTCTGTTGCAGTCTATTCACTAAATGTGGTTATTGATGCAGTATCTAGATCAATACCTAGCGTGGTTCCCATTTCAGCTATAACTTTGATATGTGCCACCTGATACATTCAGTAAATTCAATAGATTTTAAGGCATTTTATATAATTGTGTTCATTTGTATCCTGTTATGTTGCAGTGCTTGGTAGAATAATTACCTTTGGCGCTTTGAAATATTTGTGTTCTGAATAGGATATATTTGTGAATTTAAGAGTCTCTGAGCGATGTAATTCGTTGCTTCAAATTTCAAAATTTCAGTGTTTACATTGCCACATCAGGTCACAAATTACCACGTGGTTGCAAAATTAGCTGGAGACGGATCTGCATCTCATCGCTGCAAGGTTGCCCACTGGTATCACACTAATGGCAATTCATCTGCTTGTTTACTCCCTTCAACCATTTCTTGATGGTTTCTGTAGGTGTTTTTGGAGGATTCTGGTGGCAAAAGTTACTCAAAGGAAGGGAGGCTAATAGGGTGTGATCCAGCATATGATCTTGCGGTTCTGAAGGTTTGGAATTTCATTATTTATGGCTCAAGTTCCAGTGATGTCCAATTGGTTCAGAGTTGTGATCTTTGATTTCAAGATTAGTGCTGCAGATAGATGCTGACAGTGACCAGCTGAGGCCTGCTCTGATTGGCACATCACGGAGTTTGCGAGTTGGGCAAAGCTGCTTTGCCATTGGGAACCCTTATGGATATGAACATACTCTAACTACTGGGGTAATGATTCCTCAAGTTGTTCAAAGTTTATGTTAAGTGCACTTCTGAAATTCTCAAGAGTCCATCAGTCCGATGTGAATGCATCGTGTAATTATGGATAATGTTACTGTTACACACCCTTGTATATCAAATCTAGAGTATTCTAATGCGTGATCACTAAAGTTTCTTGTAGGTTATTAGTGGATTGGGGAGGGAGATACCATCTCCCAATGGGAGAGCGATCCGTGGGGCTATACAGACAGATGCTGCTATAAATGCTGGTAATGTCTTTCTTCATTTGGTATGATGTATGGACTTAATACCATCTCCAGTATCCAATCATCTTTTCTAAAAAAAATTCAAGTTCACAAACTCATTTTTGGTAAATGATGGTAATTATTGAATTTGATGAAGACAGCATTTCATTCGTTTGTTTCACTTCAGCTCCCTTGAGTTGTATTATACTCTTTAATCACGAGTGTCAACCTTTCCTGAAAGAAATTTAGGTTATCCAAGTGTGCTCATGATTCTCAGATGAAATGTTTTGCCATATGCAACTGTTTTTTGCTTTTCCTTTTGTTCCAGTGAATGGATAAGGCTTTTATAATTTGTGGTCGTGCATTGATTTTGTTGCTAGGATAACATAGGGATTAAGAATGTCTCTTTCTCCCAAAGGAAGATTAGGAAGAGTGCCAGTGCAAGCCATGTCAGACATTAAGCAGGGTAGAAAACTGCTTTTCTTATGAGCAGTAAGGATGCACTACAGATGGCATAACTTGTTGGTGCGTTGCTCATTGCTTAGAGAGTCAAGCCTCTTTGGGCCTTTTAGATGAATTAGATTTGGCCCAACTTGGAGTCCCCTAGGCATGAATTGGAATACTAAGGGAACCTGGGTCTCTCCTTTCATCTGATAGAATAAAGAGTGCATTGGATTCTTTCTTGGCAATATGGCATAACTAGGCCTGACACTGTAGTTATTTTACTAGATAAGCTGACTGTAAGTACATCATTTTTTTTGAACTGTCACCGGGGGGATTGAATCCCCACCTGAATAGTATTGATGTATTTTGTCATAACCACATCAACAGCCTCGTTTTTGTGCATCATTGTAACTATAACAGTTATCTTTGTGCTGTTGGCTAGTGGTTTTATTTACACTAACTCTCACTATTTTGGAAAATAAGTTCTTTCTCTTAGTTATATAATCCAATATTAGTTTTAGTGCTATCTGCATGGTTTACAATGTACTGGGCTGTGTCATTGTGTGTGACTACCACCATTCAGAGAGAGATTTGGTATTTCCTAGTCAGCATGAACAGTTGATGAGACTTTGCATCTTTTTTGAAGTGTATCAGAAACTGTATTTTGTCTGGTAGTTCAGATAGATGTCCAATGATTATAAACTGTGTTTTGTCTACTACTACAGATTTATTAACTGTTCTGCTTCTGCAAGCAGTAATGCCTCCCATTTTGCATTTATCCCTCTTCTTTTCTCACCTTCTCAAGTCTTGGTGCTTAACATGCGTTAGCTGAATATGAATGTCTAGCATGCATATAAGTTCCATTGCATTCCATATTTACAACTTTTTCTTACTTCCAGGTAACTCAGGAGGTCCACTTATTGACTCTTATGGCCATGTAATTGGTGTTAATACAGCTACATTCACTCGTAAAGGTAAGTAAAGCTTCTCTCATGTGTTAAGCAATTTGTGTTTCCTCAGAATGAAATCATAGATGTCTTTTTTAAAGAAGAAATCATAGATATCTCATGACATGCTATCAGTCCATTGTATGCTATGTGCAAGCACTACCAAAATGGTGGACTTCTCCTAGCGTTTTTAAGTAGTAATAAAACACTACCACTAGTCATAGCACATGGGAATCTCACTCGGAGGCATTTAGTAGGGAAAATTTATACTAAATTTTGAATGCTAAAACACTAGGAGAAGCCCACCTCACTGGGAGAAGTCTAAAATTCTGGTTGTGGAGAGTTGCTTTACCATTTTTACCAGTTGTCAGCACATAGCACACTTTATGCACATCTCAACAAAGTATACTTTAATCATTGAGGAAACCTTTTTTCGTCGCCATGGGGGGAAACATTCATTTGGAAGAAATGAAACATAATTTTTGGAGTATAAAAGACTATGGTTGTAATAGCTGCCACGTAATTTTGTGCCTTTTTTTAGTCCTGTTAAACCCTGGCTCCAGTATGACAAAAAAAAAAAAAAAAGAACGGTTAACAGAATGATAGATCGAAAAATCAATTCTCTTTTCAATTGTATTCCCTAAGCAGCAAGCAAAGTTGCTATTACCCCATGGTCAAGACCCATGGACCATGTTGGATTGGATGATCACGTCTCTGTTTTGCCTTATTTTGTGGGGAACCTTGATTTTCTGTGTAAAATCATAGCTCATAGTCATACTAAGATGGCGCTATTAATTCGACTACTTTGCTGCACTTTATCCCCATTACTGTGCATTTCCGGTCAAGCGAAACTCCACAGAGCCCACGCTTCATGGCTTCGGGGTTCTGTGCCCACATGGTCTATTCCATGCGACATTAACATGATGCCCCTCAATTTAAGAAAACAAGCTGCAGTGTTGTACTTCTAGAAACATAGATGTAGATCTTGAGTTGTGCATGCTGTGTACTGGCAGGCCATGATATCTCTGTCTCTGGTAGTACGGTAAGCAGAATATCACTCCAAGGAAGATGCCACGAATTGAATTGGGTTGCATTAATCATATAGGCAGATATCATCTGCGTGTGCGGGATACTGGTCCAGAAGATATACTGAACTTTACCGTGCCAAATCTTCCCTTTTTTTGCAGGATCTGGGATCTCATCCGGGGTGAACTTTGCCATCCCCATCGACACTGTGGTACAGTCGGTCCCCAACCTAATAGTATACGGGACCTCTGTGAGCAACAGGTTTTAACTCTGTTGTACATTATCCATTTTAATGCATGTCCTCTGTCTTTGCTATGCTCATTATTCCATATATGTGTACTTATGTATATTATTACTCATTTGGATCACTGGATCTGCGTAACTTGAGCATACCGCTCGTTATCCCGTGCTGTTGAAGTTATCCACAATTAGTGCAATGTTGATATGGTAGCTCTAGTAATATACTAAGTACTAGATGAATTATCAGGTGAGCCCTGAGCCTGATCAGTGCAGCCTCGAGGAAGATCACCTCTCCCTGTAGCCTGTAGGCTGTAGTCACTCAGGTCTCCGTTCTTTGTTCACCACGAAGACGGTCCAAGAAAGGAACGGCACAAGGAAGAAACGGAGGGCAAGGGGAACCTGACTGTCATTATGGGCGACGCAGCTGCGCCTGTCAGGATTTAGAAACCATTCTCTGAAAATATCCGTACGCGAGATTTTACATTAATCTCTCTATCTCAGCATGCCATATATTTTCCACTTTCCAGGCAAAGCAGGGGTGCTTTGCTTTCCTGGGGTTCTCTGAAATTTAGATCACTTTCATCTAGCACTGTCATCATCAACATTAATCAGCAAGGCAATTATTCCCTGGAATAATCATTAGTGGCCAGTCCCACTGTCCCAGGTTCCAGAGCGCAGGAGAGGAAAACAGCCAGCCATCATTGATCATTAGGCAGGGGAACACTTGAGATCCTGATACGGCACCTACCTTGGCCTTGGCCTTGCACCTTGCTCAGTCAGTCATGTTAACCTCTGTATGTGTATACCGGTGGTACTGGTACACTCCTACGTAGCAAGCCATGTCGCATTGCTCCCACTACCAGTTACCGGTGTTTATTTGTGTCCGTGTCGGAGTCCAGTGCCGGGCGCTGTCAGGCTGCCGTTCCGGTCCCCGTCGTTAGGCGCAGACGACGCTTCTAGAGGCTCCGGCGCTGACCCGGCCACCGCCGCCGCTGGGCCGGGCAGCGGGGCCATGCACTGGCACGGGGTCTCTTTCAGTGTCCGATCCGCTGCATTATTTGCGGCGTCGCTTACCGGTCGCCGGTCGGGTCGGGGAGTTGTCGCCGTCGGCCGGCCAGCTTGCCCGGGCGGTCACCGTCCCAGATATTTCTTCGCTTTCAGCTCGCTAGCAGAGGTAGCACGGGCGAGCGAGGCGTCTCGTGGGCCTCGTGGCCGCGGCCGGTGCCAGGTTTGCGGCGTCGCCGCGTGCCGCCGGCCACGGGCCACCCTTGGCTCCGCGCGACCCCATGCATGTGTGCCTCGGCCCGGCGCTCATAGCCTTTGACAAGATTGATTCACAACCTATGCATGTATGTTCTCCTACATTTGAGCGTGCAGCGGCGTGTGCCTTTTTTAGGGGAATGAAATGTTCTTCACCTAGAAATCATTATATATATAGTCGGAGGGAGTTAACTAGTGGATTACAGCTCCTAAATATCTACTAGTATAGTGCCCGTGCTAACGCCACGACGGCATTTTAAGAGTGCATCAAAATGGAAATATGATGGCTATTCAATTTACCGCACATCAAACTGGAAAGAAGCATCAAGAGTATATGATATGGTACTTCCTCAAAATAAGAGTATATGATACGGTAACACACAGGTAAAGGGGAGGGACAATTGAAGGGAACATCAAATTACCTGTTCTTATTTCTTGTACATTTCTTGAACACAGGTAAAGGAAGAGGGCATGACAGGGAAAAAAAAGCAATTGCACTAAGCACATGGAACCAAAAGCATACTCTATTCGAGTTGTTCTGCATCACAGAGCACTGACTTTTTCAGAACCATACACTGAATGGTAATGCTTCTGGAATGTAATAACTGAATATATATACAGACTTGTACAATTAAAAAAAAAGCTAGCATATATCCACTTGAGAGCATATCACTGAGTACATGGGTAGTACTATTACTTAAAAAAAATATGTCCATCTATAATAGAAAAATATCAGACTAAGAAATCAATTTATGAATCTATAGATTTATATCGATAACAGCATGGAGGATCTGACAAGGTGCTAACAGGATGAAGACAGCAAGATTGACCCTGCAACCAAGTCCTAAGGGGCTCTACAAACTCTGTAAACTCCATCTCATCAAGTACCTTGAGCCCTTGAGGACATCATCAACGCCGATGGCTTGCCTCTTTGATTCCTTGCACATAATTGGTTGATTATACTGACACTGGAAGTTCGTTCTTCAACTGCAAAAATCAGGAGCCTCCACATTACAGTATGCAAGACATACAGTAAAACTTCATATATCCGCCTCAGTTCCATCATTTGGAACACTATCTTTCCATGAACCATAATTTTAGAAGAACTTCCCAGCAGGGCAAGGCACTTTGCCCACACAGTAGATAACTTCCCAATCCACAATTCGCCATCAATCAAATCGCTTCTCAATCTAACGGAAGATACTAATTAATTTGCACACAGATGTGTCGATCCATTCTAGTGAAGCACATAAGTCAACCAAATTAATTGCAACATATTTTAGCTAGGAACGGATTAATTACGTCCAACAATACTCACATGGATTGGTATGACAGGGGTTGCAGTTTGAAGTCCTCCAACCTTTGCTCAATGTAGTCGATGGCAAGTTGTCATGAAGTGCCTGAATGGCCTCATGCAGCATGAACCGTGCATCCCACCACGCAGTCCCCTCGCATATCTTGGCCATTGCACGCGCGGCGAGTGGTGGCTCATTGCCCCTGCCCTCCTACACCCATCTGTGTCCTCTCCAGCAAAGTCAATGTGGATTGCGGAGGCATGCATGTATCTCTTCTTGTGCCCACTATCCCCCTACAATAAAACGTGGTTATACACACCTAAATCAGAAGTTTAGAACTGACGGAATTACGAGCTATTAGATTCAATGTGAACATGGATCAAACATACACTGGAGCTTAAAATAAAGAAGACTATAATATCCATCGAGTGAGTCTGTTTGATTCAGAAACTAAAATCCTTCACACTAAGCATTTGGAGCAAATAAAAAAAATAAACGGACCATGTAAAATAACAAAGGGATCAATATCTTATTCAAAAACTAAAATCCTTCACACCTCATAATCTCATTAATAATTAAAACAGCTAGAATGAACTGCATTATCTTAGTTCAGCAGGAAATGTCAGAGCACAATGCATCCGAACCAAGGACAAAAAATAGGCCAGTCAAACTATATAAGGTGTACTGTGTGTATGAACTTTTATGTACGTACAGGGCACAGCCATAAAAGTTCTCTTGTCCTCATTTTTTAGTTTTAAAATGCTTGCGCAATGCTGGAAAGAAATAAGTAGGTCATTCAAACTACCACACTGAACCAGGCATTTTCCAGACGGCTGGGAGTTGTCCAGGCACTGTCCTCATTTTGCACAATGGTGGATCACGGCATTATTATTTTCTGAATGGTGTCTGAGTGAATACAAAATACCAAACAGGAACCTAGTCTATTCATCCAGAAACGACTAAGCAGAAACATGGACAAATGCAGTTGAGGAGAAATTCACAGAAAAACAGCTTCGGGCAGTCATTGTAGTCTGGTGGAAAAGGAGAGAAATACCATGTATCTATCTCATATCTCATATCTCATAGCTCCAACTAAAATTGTCAGAACAGGTTGTAGATAATACAAGAGGCCGACCTTAGCTCCAACTAAAATTGTTAGCACCTTGAAAGCTCTCTGCAAAGCAATCATCTCCTGCACACATAGCCAAACAAGAACAAACTGCGGACATATATGTGTGCGCTGCAATCATGACTGCAACTCTCGACTCCAGAAATTTCAGTAGGCTATAGAGGAGCACTAATCGGACCTGTAAAGCAGTAAGAATAAGAATCTCAGCATCGCTAGAAACAAAATAACATATGATTAAAGTAGTTATGTTGTATACTGCTAGATAGAAAGCATGGTAGCCTTCATGAACACAAACCTGGAATTCATTGAGCTCCACGTCACTCAGAGCGCCATCCTTGTCATTGTCACATATAACAAATATCCGCTTCGACGCTCTCACACATCGAGGCTTCAGAGATTGTAAGTCTTGATCAAAGAGAGCAGTTGGGTGAAGTACTGCCTTCTGGGCATAGTAGAAGACGTCAGGCACCTGCCAAATAAAGTCAACATCCATATATTATTACCCAGGACTTTCAAATGCCAAGAATTTTAACACATTAGGCACACACTGTTCATGTCTAAGAACGCTACAAGCTTTATTCTAATGTGTCTGACAAAAGTTCAGATATCGCTAAGGTAAGTATAAGACATTTGGGGGTACACAAATACCTAATCAAGTATAATAAGATGCGGGGTAACCTGGATCTGCCGAAGAGCGGAGCACTCAATTTAGGTCTTAATCTCGCAGAAGGACTGCATGATGGGCGCCATTCCAGGGAAACAAAACTGCAAATCACATAGCAGGAAGGAGGATTAAATTATCCCACATCAAATACATAGCAGCAGGAGGATTAAATTATCCCACATCAAGGTGACAGGTCTCCCTACGGTTCCTTCCCAAGTCGACCAGCGGCAGCGACGTTCTTCGGCGGCGGTGCGGCTCCACGGCGGGGGTGAGGGGAAGCGCGACTTGCGGGGTCGGCAGCCGTCGGCATGGCGGCCAGCGGGTCGGAGATCTGCAGGGCTCCCCTTCCCTTCCCATCTCTCCACCCATATGTTGCTCATTGAAATTACTCCAAAATTCAAATAATCTAGACTGTGTACATAGAATCCCCAAGTTTAGAGAAACTACACAGAAATGGCGTACCCAGTGCAGAGAGCTCCCACTCTGTGCGGGGTCTGGGGAAGGGTGTCAGTGGCAAGCCTTACCCTCGCCTGTGCAATGCGAGGAGACTACGACTCGAACCCGGGTACTTCCGGTCACAGGCGGTAAGACTCTACCGCATGCACCAGGCCCCCCGTCAAACTACCCCAAAACCACACAAAAAAATCACCCAGCCTCACCTGCGTGGAGACCGAGTCAGC